AAATCCGTCCTTATCAAAACTCGACCAAGAACCCTGAATGGAGACAAAGCATAATTGATGGATGTTCAAAAATTATACCTGAAATGTTTTTTTTTGTATTCCTAAATTATTTTTAAAAGAGAATTAATGCATGCATTCATGTTCATGGAAGTCAGTGTTAAATTTGTAAAAAAAAGATATATGTACGAAAAAACCGTACGTGATTTGTTAACGTAAATATATTGACCCTACGGGGGCCACCCCTGTACGTGACGCTAAACGGTAAGATGCCCACCTTCAAATTGACACGCGGCATACGTAACCTGTCGACGATGATCTCCGCTGCCACGTCAGATGTTTCGTTGTGAAAGTGTTTCATTACTCTTTTATTATTGCAAACAGTTTCACGCAACCCAATTTTAAACATCCCACCCCCCCTCGGTTTCCAGGAAATCCTTTGCACGTCGACAAGTGTGAACAAAATATACATTTGATTAAATGCCATTAATATATGTGATATTGCTTAATTGCGTCACTCGGTTGACATGCATTGTGTTTGTAACCGAACCTCCTTCTCTCGCTCACACGCTCTCACTCTGTCCTCGTGCTGCATTCTCTCTCACACTTTCCCCTCCCCTTCCTCTTCCACGCAGCCAATGTCCTTCTGTTTGCTGGCAGATAAGGGATTTATATATATAGAGCCTGTTGCCGTGGCAATTGCTGCCACTGTTGTGGTGGTTGTGAAGGAGACGGTTGAAGATGCGCGCCGGCCCACCCACCCAGACACCCATCCACCCACCCACCCATCCACCCACCCATCCATCCACCCATCCATCCATCCACCCACCCATCCACCCATCCATCCACCCACCCATCCATCCACCCACCCACCCATCCACGCACCCACCCACCCATCCACCCACCCATCTACCCATCCATCTACCCATCCATCCACCCATCCATCCACCCACCCACCCATCCACGCATCCACCCACCCATCCCAGACCGCGTTCGGCATCGTCATTCACTCTCCCTTGCTCGTTAATATTTTTTCAACAGACGAATCCTGTCAATGTAGTCTCCTCCTTCCGATTCGTGTGTGCGTGCGTGTGTATATCGATGAATTGGGGGGGGAGCGGTAGTGTAGCGATTAGCTGCGCTATGAACCGCTGCGCTATGATCCAGGCGAATCCGAGGTTCGATTCCCGCTCACGGCCAACACGGGTGACGATTATCTGAACCGGTCCTGGGCCTCCCCTAGCTCGACTCAGCCTCAAATGGATACCGGGTGCGGTGTGTAAACATCGCCACTGGGGAGACAAAGGCGGCCGGGCGTGGTTGCTGGCCACCCACCCCCTCGTGTGCCGTGCTGACCTTTATAGGTGCTCGCTAACAGCACTTGTCCCAACAGTGTGTTAAGGCGATACGGGGGATCTTTGTCTTTGTGTTGTCACAATCACCTTCATCATCATCATCATCCACCACCATAATAAATCCACTGCTGGATGAAGGGCTCCCTAGGACCACGCGATTCTGTGATGTTACAATCTACTCCCGTGACTGCACACGAGCAGGCTTGAGCCTGGATAGCGCCTGGATATCTTTCTATCTTGAGCGCAGCAGGTCGCCACGGTGGCTATGAGATGTTAACTACCTCGCCTGCTATACAAGAAGTCGTGGGTTCGATCCCGATCCTGACGCTGTATAGTTGGAGTTTGCACATCTCTCTCCCCGTGGTCACGTGACATTTTCTCCCGGGACCTCCGGTTTTCCCCTCCACATTTAGCATCAACAACGTGCGTTTAGATATATTTTCACGCGAAAAGCCACTTCGTTGAGCTATCATTTGTGTCCAGGTCGTTTCTGAAATATTTTAGTTTAGTTTAGGTGATGTATAGGCTGCTGCTGCTGCAGAGTACGGTGCAGAAGCGTCTATTGTTGTACTCTACAATGCTTCAGACTTTTTGCTTCCCACCTCCACCAACCCGCCACTGGACAGCGTGGTGAAGTAAGGTCAAATGACCCCCACGACGTGGGGAGGCCTTCATCCAGCAGTGGACCCGCAGCGTGGTGATACGTGTGCAACGTGCACTGCACGATGCGATCTGCATAAGGAGTTGGATAACAGTGTAATGACCACTTGACACACTTCTCTTGAGATGGTACTTTATTGAAGACACGTTCGCTTGACATCAGGTTTAGACCCCCACTGCAACAGCCCCGAGTCTCCCTTTTATACCAACACGAGGCCACGCCCCCCTTCTCGAACCATCTCGCTGACTCTGGACGCTCGCTCCACCGGCAGACTCCACCGTCCTCTTCCCTCGCCTGACCACGCCCCCCTTCTCGATCATTCCCGTAGCCACCAGTCCCTTCACACTCACAGCTGACTCCAGTGTCATTACCTTCCGTGGTCACTAGTCCACTCACACCGCATGTGGACTCGACTGTCATCACAGCAGTACTATGGTTTGCACTTGCCTACCATTGCTGTAGTGAAGCAATATTCTGTATCTCCTTTGTATATCTGTCCACGTTAAACAAATATGCTCCACCACCTTCCATGAATGCATACTTTCAGCAGCATTGCTTTAGCACAAGCAAACCACTGTCAGTTTTGTATGCGGAGAGACGGATATTGTGAAGGAGACCGATTGTCCGCTTGTCTATTTATTTTTTGTATTTTTTTTTTAATCCACAACGGCGCTTGAAACTGATTCTTTTGAATCTATTTTTTTCCCGGTCATCCTCGCAGGGACTTTTAGCTGCTGGCCATCAAACAGAGATGGTGTTCACCACGCCGCGCGCTTTCAGACGCACTTCTGCGGCCGTCTGGAACGATCTTCCTTCCGATATTTGTAAGCCACCGGAGCTACATTGCAAACTAATTTCTTCAAAAGTTATTTTTGCGTTTCGTTTATTGTCCTCCCCCCACCACCACACGGTGCAAAGAAATTCAACATACAGTACATACATCCATAATAGAGGTTTTTTGGGTTAGATCGCGTAAATATAAATGTGTCGTTAAAACCGCCACCACCCGACACAGCCAATTAGTAAGGTTTGTTACGTAAACAGAACATTCCAATCAGTTACGTGTACAGCACACCGGTGTGCTGGAGAGCAAATCCACAACATTTACGATCTGAGTGCGACCTGTCGCCAGTAATTACAACCGGAATCGTCCGGCGGGCAGCCAGACTTGTGGGAGAACTCCTCCCGTTCCGTTCTTTAAATAGAGGGGTAGATGTCATGACGTCACTCGTGAGCCCCTCTTACGCGCACGTGGTCTGAGCCAATGGCGACGGTTCGATTGCACCTGGCAGTGTACCTCACTTCTCCCATCCGTTGCGTGCACCACAGCTGTTGGAGGCGGCCGACCCGAGACATTCCGAGGTCCGACTCGCGAGACGAAACATTATTCTCCGTGCAAGTCGCGATGACCACCTACAATAGCCTTTCAGGAGGGCGTAAATGAAGGACAAACGTAATGGACGTGTGCGTTTTAATGAACGGTGTTTATTGATGTAGCGAGGTCGGTCACATTCCCATTATGCACGGGGAAAAAACGGAGCCGTGTGAATAACAATTTCACGGGGACAAACACTTAAATGCCACCAAGCCGCCGAGTTTTAACACGAGCCATCAAAAGCGGCTGCACGTTTCCACCCCCGACAATCCCCCCCCCTCCCCCCAGTCTAAATGTCACGCAAACACCGTTATACAACAAGCGTGCTAAATTATGCAATGTTGACACGCGATTCGCTGCGGCGAAGGGTCAGCCGCCTTGTCCTGGATTTCAAAGGACTTGGTCCTATCTTTTTGAGGTGGCCACTCTGGGAAAATCTTCTGCGAGTCGTCTAGCCGGGGGCATTATAAGTCCCGGCTCTTTAAATTTTGATTTAAAGCTTTCGTGACTGCAGTAATTCATATTCTTAGTTTTTTCGGTAAAGTCACGTTGAAGAGAAACAACAAAATAACAAAATATATATAAAACAATAAAAAATTCTCACGACATTTCGACCATAACTCAAACGGTCATCATCAGGTGTGTCGGTTTGCATAAATTTATTTTGAAAACGGCATATTTATTTATTTATATAAAAATAACGTTTGCGTCAAGCGCAACGATTGGCTGTTTGCCAGGACTAGTCCATCTATTTTTTGAAAAGAGGAGGGGGGAGACGAAATTTGTTTTTATGTATGCTGTCTGAAAGCCACTGTAAGCGTGAACAATCAATCAAGAACTGAAATGATTTATCAAATCTTTCCAATGATTGCTAAGATAGAATCCATCTTCTCGGTTGAAATTGTCTCTGTGTTTGTATATGTGGATAGCCTCATGAACGAATCTCTCATGGAAGCCAGATGGCTTACAAAGAACCTCCGTCTTGGAAAAGTCAATGGCATGTGAGCCTACTGAATGAGAACAATGATCTGCTACGGCCGAGGTGTTGGTCCTACCGTGTTTAAGGTCTGCTTTATGTTCACGAATGCGGTCCGAGATATGGCGTTTGGTTTCTCCAATGTAACTACTACCACAGAGGCAACTTAGTTTGTAGACACCAGGGTATTGTATGTCCGGAATCACATCTTTTACAGACGGAACCAGATCACGGCTCTTTGTCAGTTTGTGCGATAATACCCAACTTGAGACTATGCATTGATACGCATGTAGTTGTTCAACATCTCTCATGGCAAAACACTTTAATGTGGGACGTGAACAAATTGCCGATTTATACAATTAAATATTTAAGTAATTAAGTGACTTCGCGGTATAAGCCATAGAGCTGCACGTGCAATGGTCGCGCCTGATGCTGCTGTTGGGATTCGTCTCCGTGAAGTGAAACGCGATTTGGTTGAGTCGACAAACTGCCAGCTGTTTTGACATTTTCACTGAACAACATCACTCTCAACAAGTTATCGCGATGTAGAGGATCTAGTTGCCACGACTGCCTTCTCTCTCGAAGCAAACAGGACGAGACTGTAAAAACTCGGCGAGATCAATGATAAACATCAAGTAGTGGCAGAAATGTTTATTTCAAGGGGAAGATACTTATATAGAAAACTTAAGTGGGGGAAAAACGAACGTAAAATACTTTTTTTTAACGTCAGGAGCATTGCGTGGCATTGGCTGCTGAGATGCAGGAAAAGCATTGGTCACCAGTTGATGCATGAACAAGCAAGTCAGCAAACTCCGGACATTATGGCCGTGAGTTATTTGCACTTGACATATTTGACAATACGCAGATGATTTGAGTTTGTCAGCCATGACAATGGCCGAGGCAATGTAGCTCTTGGCAAATGTAAGTCCCAGGGCTGGACATTGTGGGGGTCTCGAGGTAAACGCTCCTAAAATGAAGCTCACAGGTGTCACGGGATTGGAGTATGTGGAGGTAGTTGAGGGCTTTGTGTGCCTGGGCAGGATCGTGCATTATGTAGGAGGTTGTGGGGAGGTCAAGAGATGTATTGTTGTCAGGGTGGGATTTCAATGCGTTACGTAAACCACTTTAAATTTACCCAAAGGTCAAATGTAATGTTGCGTCGCGAGTTTGAAGGAGCACTAATGTCCACGTTACTCACATATGCATCGGTGCACTGGAATTTACAAAGTAACCGGGGAAATATTCTGGGCGTTTAAATTTTACTTCAATTGCACGTCGACAGTGCTCGGAAAGAAATGACCAGATTAGGGTTAAACGATTTTTTTTTGTTTCAAGTTTGACATACGAAGCGTTGGAAACAAAATCTGGAACGGGATGTTTAAAAGGGTACAGCGTGTGTACACACGATGCACAGGGCAGGATACTGAGACACACATTGAAAATTGTATTCCATGTTTTGGCTGTCGCCTAATGAGGCAGGCTGTTGTAATTACCGGCGCAACGTCGTGCTCCAATTGTAAATGTTGTGGGTTTACTCTCCAATACACCGGTATGCTGCTGTACCACTAAATAATTAGCACGTTTTGTTGACGTGATACACCTTACTAATTGGCTGTGTCGGGTGGTGCCAAGTTTAACGACACATTTACATTTACGCGATCTAACCCCAAAAAAACCCTCCCTATTATGGTATTCCAGTTCAATAAATTAAAACTCAACACACACCGCCATGCGGGGAAAAATATACAATGGACAACATTTCTGGCGATAGCCCTCCAATGCGGCATCGCCAAGTAATTCGTTTAATATTCAATCTAAGATAATCTTGATTTGATCTAAGATAAGCTTACTGATTAAGAATCATTGATATGGGACTCAGGCGTGTGTTTATGAAAACCATACAAATGATATAACCTCACAGTGCTTGTGAAATCTGAGATAATTAATTCCTGGTCGGGATCATATTCCAGTCGCTCGTACAATGTGAATGACGATGCCTGATCGTTATAGTGTTATACAAACGCGTACTAATACACAGCATATGCCACCTTAATAATTTACGAACAATAAGATGTACCATCTGATCTACTGAAATGTTAACATCAAAGACACTCTGATAATAGCAATGTTGTGCAAATGGCAATATTATGTCAGACATTACATATTATTGTGAGCAATTTCAAACAGCTTGTGCCCCAAGCTTTAGAATCTAGTTGCTAGAATACATGGACACGTGGATTCAAGGTCATGTTGTTAAAATACTTATACGTGAATTAGCCTACCTCTGGCATACTGTTCAACTATGTACTACAACGCAGATGGGAGTAGCATGTCTCTCTCTGGGACCGGGCTCATTGAAATGCTTCACCGTTACTTTTCACACTTCAAATATGTGGCACGCACTTGCTCACAGTCGTAGGTTTGGTGGTTTAGCAGTCGAGCTTGGTGCGGCTCTCTAACTCGATGATAGGGACCGAAGCTGCCCGCTTGCGATTAGTTGACAGTGGAAACTGCTTGCCTATCATTGGTTTATGAACCCTGATCGCTAACACGGCATTGACGCTCTCCGAAACCAAACCCAGGCACCAGTTCTAACCACGCAATCACTCAAACTTAAATGCTGTACCTACCCTTAACCCTACCGTTTTCTCTAAACATATCCCTTTGGCACGCGTCTATGCCTGAAACCATTCCTTACCATCATACCCTAATACTGACTCGATCTGGAATCACAGATTTAATTTCATACTGGTCATCGTTTAGTCCCAGGTAATCATTTTCTTAGCCCGCTAGTACTTTATTGATGGCTAGCAGGCCATAACACTATTTTCATCAGGCTTGCCCATCGAATCTAATGCCAACAACAACAACAACAAAAAAACCTCTTTAATATTCTCCCACTACGGCGGACGAGTTGAGGCTTGGAGCATCACGCGGCCCCGCTCACGGAGAGCTCGTTGAGAGCCGTGTAGGCTGGGTAGAGCCGGTCGCGGAGGTCGGCGACAGCCTGGGCCACACTCGCCGGGTCCCGCAGCGTGCGGACGCCCTGCGAGTACGGCTCGTAGCGGAGGGCCCAACCGCGCCGCGCCGTGCACTCCGCTGCCTGCCAACTGCGGGACGCGACAACGGTCAGCGAAGCCGCCGGCGAAGGTAAAGCGGTCGCGACGGTGTAGCCACTTGAATGCCTTGACAACATCACAGCTCATCTCCATCATTCTATTACCCTGCTGGGGTCCAGCCAAAGCCCCTTCCCACCCCAGTGGCAGCAGCTGTGTGGTGTGCGGCATCAAGGTGACCGCAGCACCGACCTGCAAAGTATATTCGTCTGCCAGTTGCGGGGGGGGGGGGGCAAGGTTTGAGTTGTGCTTTTTCCCGATTACCGTTTAGTCATTTGCAAGTCGTACCGTATTCTCCTGGTTGCAATGTAGAGCAAAAGTTGGGGGTGCTTCGAGTAATCCGGAGAATACGGTCGGTAGAATTTGGTAAATTTGGACGATGATGCCGGCACACGTGGGCTATTGTATCGGGTGAGAGTCCATTAAAGCAATTGACCGAATTCATATGAATGGTGGAAGTGGCAAAAGGTAACCAAACGGGGACCTCCCCATAAGTCCCGGTTTTTGAAAGCGCATCGTTTTGATTCAAAAAAGGCCTACCAAGGTGAAACCTTTAAATGGAACGTGTGTAGTGACGCGCTTATTTTCTGAGTACGACATATGCTATGAGCTCTGTTGAATGGTTGTGAATGCGCAAGTCACAATGGTTATTTCCCCCCCCCCCCCCCTTAAGCTTTAACCTTCATGGGGTCTCTTTCTGCTCAAGCCTCCAAAGGGGTCTCTTAATTCACCACGTTGACCTTCGCATGCTATTTAAATTTATTGGCTCACTCTCCAATGCAAGACTATACATTTTTACGATTGGTTTTCGTCACTTACACATCTCACGATTTGATAAGCATCTTTGTCTATCGGCCCCGAATCGCCTTGGCACAATGACTGTTTGTGTGAAAGGCTAGCTACACTCAAGAATTCCAATTTACATCGGGCCTATTCCGCCATTAGCAAACCGCATTCTGCCATTATTTATTTCCATGGGCCAAAGAGAACGGATTTGCGGTGTAGCAAGGACAGAGCCGTACAAAAGTGCAACATCTTCATCGAATTTCAACGGCAGAATCGCGCAAATCTAAATTTGAGGACGAAGCCACTCCAGCGAAATGAGTTGATTTGGCCAAACTTTTCCCACACCTCCGTTCCGTGAAATGCATGGCAGGAATTGTCGAGCGGCTACGGCTAATGAACATCGCTGCGTTCTATTGACAGCAACAGCAGCAGCAACAAAAACCACATTGACGTCCCACAAAGTGAGACTCATTTTTTATCGGCCCCCTGAGGGTTGATGGTGGTGGTCTAGACGGAGGGAACACACCGAGGAGAGGACGATCGGCGCAGCGATGGGAGCACTGGAATCAAACTCGCGCGCTTGCCCAAGATGCATCGTTGTATCGCAAGATCGCGAGAGAGATGGCGACGGCCTAGGGAAGCCTTCATCCAGCAGTGGATTAACCGAGGCCGATGATAATGGTGATTTGAACCTTGCAAACTTCTAATTGTGAATCGAGTGCTTTTCGACACGGGGCAGTCTTTTATATACGTGCTCGTCTTGATCGCGTGCGATGCAATACCGCGTGCTGAAAAAGCTCAAATACTTCAATAACAGCATGAATCAGGGGTGGCTAAAATTGCTTAAATACCGTGTTAGCAATTTGTGTGCTGGGGGGGGCGGTATTTGTGAACATGGCTAACATCAGTTAGCCGCGTATCTGAACTGGTCCTGGGCTACCCCTAGGTTAACTCAGCCTTAAATGAGTGCACTCGCTGGTGCAGTCTAAACGACAGCACTGGGTGAGACAACCGCGGCCCGGGTGGCGCCCTTGCCGCTCCGCCCCCTCGCGTGGCGCTCCGCCCCCTTCGCGTGGCGCTCCGCCCCCCGCGCGTGCCGTACTCAGCCATGAAAGGTGCTCGCTGCAGAGCACTTGACCCATGAGCCTGCGTGGGCTGTGCGGGTGGAGGGGGACCTTTGCCTTTGTGTGCGAGCTGCTGCCCGTGCCTAAATTAGCAAATATTGACGAAAGCGGTCCCGTTGGAAACGGGATGACCGTTGAAAGGCGATGTGACATTGGAAGGTGAATTCTCGGGTGACCTTCGCCAAGAGTTTAAGGCAATGGATCGAGCTGTGATAGTAAAACAAGAGACTCTCGGTAACTTTTCTGTTTTTGCGGCAGCACAAATGTAGATACTCTCCTCTTTGTGCTGTACAATTTCAGGGCTAAATACTAATATCGCTCTACGGCGTTAAAAAGGCAATACTCTCTCTCTCTCTCGACGTTCGTCTGGTGCTGTGAAATTTGACATGAAAGCGTCACCGCTACTTGGCAATGCAATGGGCAAGCGCATGCACGGTCTGGTTCACTTTAACATTTCAATGCGAGGCGACGCACGCGAGCCACTTTCGTGGAAACGTAAGTATAACGTAATAACGGCGTATTGATCAACATTGCAAATTACAGGGGTATCCATTGTAATAAGTTTGAAAACAGACGGTGCGCTGTAATGTTTGTGGCAATCCACAGCACGGTGTTGCGACGACATGCTGCAGTTTTAACCATGCTGTGAAGCCTTTTCAGCTGCCCTTGTCGAGCTATTTCTCGGATGGAGGCCTCCCCAAGCTGTCGGTTTTGAGGCTTGTTTGACCATACTTCACCACGCTGGGCCAATGTGGGCTGCTGTAGTAATGGGGGGGGGGGGGGGGTGGGCGCACAACCGCTTCAGCGAGCACTCCGCCGCTGACGTTCGCCTTGGCTGGGAGTTGAACTCAGGCGGCGAGGTATACAGAGCAGTGCGCTAACCACTGTGCCACCGCTCCGCACCCACAAGCACATGTGTAAATGTGCAGCCCTTCTACCAATCCACCGCTGGATGAGGAGGAATTTAATCATACTTCGCCACGCTGGTCAGTTGGTGAAGATGATGAGAAAAGAAGTCGCGTAACAACAATGGATTTTGCCACGTTGCACTGCCCTCTGCTGCCCACCACGTAGCCCCGCAGCAGCCTATAGCAACCCGTTATACAGAGTGGTCGCCCATCCAATCCACCAAACAGGCTCCGGACCTGCTTCGACTCTGAGATCTGACGAGATCAAAAGACCAACGGTGCGCCCGGCCATAGGCTAAGTGCACCCTTCGTGAGTCGGCAATTATGTACCTCGCATGAGACAGCGCGTCTTCCAGGCTTGTGATGGCGACGTCGTGAGGGCCCACGGAGTCTCCAGGTTCCGAGCAGACGGGTAGGCCCGCCTGGCGGAGTGCGAACTCGCACACGCTGTAGAAACTCTGCGAGAGACGTGGGATGGGGGGGGGGGCACAACGCAGGGCTCGTTACTCGATATTCCATCGAGACAAATTTGCCTTTGTACTGGGAAATCTGGGAATCCTGTATGAATGCTCTACCGTATTGGGACAACTTCACAAAGGGTATGCGCAGTGAAGTTGGGGTGAAATGACATTACTCCTCTTATCTGCGTGTACAGCACGCGCATAATGAGGATTACCCCGTACGGTGTCTAGTATTTAATTTCAAAAAAATCCCTAACAATCGGAAGAACTTCCAATCAGGGCTTCCTTATACTAATTTGTGTTGTCAGTAATAAGCTATGCATATTGGTAATTTCCGACATCATTCTGCCAATGAAAAACTTCCCAGAAGAGTTTAAAAATCCAAGTTTACGTGAAAATCTTAATATTTCTTGGGCAAAGCCGGTCAATAAAAAACTTTATCTCTGGAAATGCCCTGTAATTACAAATGTATAGTGCAGTTTTATTTGACACTGAATTCAGTATTCAAGTCAATAATACTTTACTAAATAACGGGCAGATCCTGAAGTTTTATTTTACATTTTCTGACCTCGCAATCAAATGGTAAATATATCCGCTTCACTGTCACAAGAGTTGCAGTTAAACAACATTGCTTTAATGGAAAGGTGTTAAAAAGCCACTATTTGAAACATAATATGGTAAATAATACATACCTGAGTAATAAATGAGATTCTCATCGTGAGTTAAAACTGAGCAGCACTGCGATACATGGCACCACGCTCTTAAGCACATATGACGAGAGGCTGCCTGAAGTTATTGACCTTGATGACTTTGAAGACCCAAGTGAAACTCGAGATGATCAATCTTTGTAAATGAGAGCCATCGTATCCACGTTCTTGACCTACACGCTCTAGTCTAACTGCTGTGGCAGCGCCTTATGTCTGTTCCCAAGATGCAATTTTGCCTTATACTTTCTGTAATTTTAATAATTACGAAAAGAAAACATCACCATAATTGCCACTAGAACCACAGTGGTGACTACCACAGCCATCATCACCATACCACTATCTCAGCCGCTTAGGGCTACTAGCTAGTGTAGAACTGGTATGCAGTTGGCATCGACTCGGGGGAACGAGCAAAGTTACCTACCCGAGTGACAGATGGAGAAGTTGTGACAACTTGTGACGTGCCCATTGTTCCCTCCTGTAACGTTGAATTCGGTAGCAATTCTAGCATACCACATTGGCCATTTGTGGTCCACCTATTACACCTGCGACTGATGGACAGCCGCTCCCCACCGAGTGACCGTGGCTATCAAAGCCTGACCGTGGGAAAGCTTCGCCCGGCAGTGCCCGACGCTTCGCTCATCCGCTGGTGGAGTCTCGAGACGTCCACAGCGCCGCTCCCGCAACCCCTCAGCCTGGTTCACCAGCCTCGGCCAACCAACGCAAGACACGGTTGCCAATCGCCCCGCCAACACGAACAAGGCAACAAGAAGCCATTTGTTTTAAGAGCGACTGCGCAGAAGAGTCGCTTCTTTCGCAGCGATCCTTCAGTTCGCACGGCCCAAATCTGTCCAAGCCACCCTTAGAGAGAGAGAGAGATAGAGATGGAGAGTGGCTGCAGTGAGTCAAACCAACTATTGCACAGCCCAGACCTTTCTCCCCGGCGAAACTTTCTGTACTATCTATACAGGAACCTGAAGCAACGGACGACGTGGTCGTCGCAAACATGTTGTTTTTGTTTGTTTGTTGATGTGGCTGCGTCTGGCAGGATTCAAGAATAAGAAGTTCACTTTTCTGCCGCGATATCCTCGTGAGATTTAAAGTGGGGCTGGCCATGTATGTAGAGACGAGAGCTGTCGACTCTCTTGGCACTGTTCAAGTTCAGGCTCAAGACTTCGTGTCCTCCGTCTGCGGCTGACCGCCTCGCTCGATAGAGCACGGCGTCTTTGAGGTGTGGTCACAAGCGATGCTGCCAGGATTCTCACATCGCTTTCGGTGTCGGGAAATGCAATGCGACTTTTTAACAGTTTGACTCTCTCTCTCTGACGATTTACAGGCACCCTCTTGCACGAAATGTTTGCGGTGTGCGAGCTGCGCGCACACATCACCATTGACCCCGCCCACCTTACTCTTGTATCGAATCCCACGTGGAGGTCAGCAGCCCCTTCTCAACTACGGCGGAAAACTTTTTTTCTCGCGTTACAGGAACGAATCGTCGCCATGCGTTCGTTATGAGTAAGAAGCCGCAAGCATCTGGGACAGTTCTGTTTCACGTCGCTACCGCGCGCCTTGCCGTTATACGGCGTGACGCCCGAGGTCTCGCTCCACAGTGCTTCTTCAGAAACTGTTCTGTTTGATCATTTAACCCACAGTTTGTATTGTGGCGGGCTTTTCGTGCACGTGGATATTGCGTTCCGTGGAGAGGAAGTCACCTCTGCGAGGAGCTGCACGTCGGTGTTTGACGAGCCCAGAGAGGCGAGTCCCATGTCCTGCACGGCACGCGCCACTGGACCCATCGTGAGAAGCGGCACCAGCCCTAGCAGCAGTCCGCACACGTCCCTGTGTACACACGAACAAAGGCAAACGTCCCCCCCCCCCCCATATCGCCTTTAACAGGCTGGTTTGGCCAAGTGCTTCTAGCTAAAACCTGTGGGTTCAATGACGGCTGGCACGGCACGCAAAAAGGGTGGCTGACCAACACACCCAGGCGCCCAGCCGCTTTTGTCTCCCCAGGTGTTGATGTTTGAACATCACGCCAGGTCACCTAAGGGGAGGCCCAGGACCGGGTCAAATAATCGCCACCGATTTTGGTCGTAAGCGGGACTCGAACTCGGGTCGCCGTGTTCGTAGCGCAGCATACACGCGAAATGTGCGTTTACAGCCCTTTTTAGAGTACACTGCTAGATGAGGGCCTGTCCCATGCCGTGGGGGTTTTGCTTGACCATACTTCACCACGATGGTCGGTGCGCATTGAAGGTGGGGGGAGCTAGGACCAGTGTAGGTATCTCTCTCCACTGACGTTGGTCATTAATGGAAATTAAACTAAAGTTGCCAGTAAATTCACGTTGAAGGGAAACAATAGACTAATAAAATATATATAAATATGCAGCACACAATGCAAACCGACACACCTGATGACGACCGTTTGTGTTATGGTCGAAACGTCGTGAGAATTTGTATTGTATTATATATATTTTATTATTTTATTGTTTCCCTTCAACGTGACTTTACCGAAAGAGCTAAGAATATGAATTACTGCAGTCACGAAAGCTTTAAATCAAAATTTAAAGTTGCCAGCATCATAGCGCAGAAGGCAAACCGCAGTGTCACCACCACTCCGTGATAAAAAAAAAAAACTACATCAAACAAATAGAGTAAACCACTTTGATATATTCATTTTGTCTAAAATCACCACACAGGGCCCAAGCTACGCACACATTCCATAACAACCATCCCTCGTGGGCTTCAATATGAGAGGGTATGCAAAACTGCAATGGTATTTCCCATTAATAATCTTCAAACTAGAGCAAGGAAAAGGCATGCACCAGTTGATATTCAGGTCGGGGTATTGGTAGCATACGGGCAGCAATGGCTATCTGCTATCAATCGATGACAGCGTCATGCCTCGTCAAACGTTCACGCACAGCCCTTCTGTTCAGTCAACCGCTGGACGAGGCCCTCAACCACGCCGTGGCGGTTGTCTTGACCACGCCTCACCGCGCTGGTCAATGCGGTGAGGTGAATGCAGGGAGAATCGGCGTGGGAGCATTTTGACAAATCAACGGATGTATTTTTCTACACTGCCCTCTGCTGACAACGTGAACCCGCGGCAGTCTTCAACGACTTTTTTTTTGCACGAATGTGAGTCGCCATTAATTCCATACTATGGTTTGATCATACTCCACCACGCCGGTCACCGTGGGTTGTAGGTGGGCACCATAGGCGGTGGGCGGATAGAAGTGCAGTACAACAATGGACTTTTTTGCACTGCCCTCCGACGGACTACCACGCAGCGCAGCTTCCCTGCAGCTCGTGACAGCCTAGCGTGTGTCGTGGTCACCCAACCCAAGAACTATCCAGGCTCAACATCCCTGCTTAGCTACAGAGATGTGACAAAAAAATTGGGCACATTCCAGGTGATTGTGTGTCAGAGGCTGAACCAAAAACACACGCGCACTAACATGCAGACGCATTCACGCCCGTGCACACATGTACTGGCATGTAAATCGACATTAATGCACAGACGTAAAAACACACACAAAGACAAGAATTTGTATAAAACACACCGAGAGTCATGTGCACACACACACACACACTGGCATGTAAACGGACAGTCACACTCTGAGAAACACACACACACAGGTGTGGTGGCGGACGCCTGTAATCCAGCACTGTGGAGGCGAGGGTTGGTGGATTGGACAAATGTTACCAAACTCTCTTTCATGATTGGACAAATGTTACCAAACTCTTTCATCATGGGACCTCCGTTACGAAACTCTCTTTCCATTGGCGTCGAGGTCCTATACCGTGGCTCGCCAGGAGAAGGCAATAGAGTACAGTATGGGATAGAGTGTTTCTCCCTCGCGCACATGGTAAAACCCACGGGGTAAACCCTCCAGGTTTTTCCAGTTTCCTCCCACATGTAAACGTCCCATTAATTGGCTGAAAATATCTTTAATGCATAGAGGACCGCAGAGCCTGGGCAATTGTTGGCGCCAGTTCATCGCCTTCCTGCTTGTCTGTGGTTCCTCCCTCTCGCGCGTCACTAGTTATTATTCCCCCTCCCCCTCCCCCCCATGATTATCTCCGCGTGCATGCGTGCGGTTTCGTCTCACTCCGCCGTACGTGCGGTGCGCTGGGTGCGCGACGCTGCCGGGGCACGCGTGGAGGGAGCAGGGCAACACGCGGAAGGCGAGGGCCGAGAGGAGGACGCGGGCGGGCGGAGTGCCCGGCACGGGCCACAGAGAGAAGCCAGTGTGACCTGCGGATAGAGAGGGAGAGAGACAGGGTTGGGGCTCGTCACCGTCACATTTTACTGCTCAGTGCTTTGCGTGTGGGGAAAAGCGCTATATGAATAAAATGCATTATTGTTTTTTTGTGTGTGTTTTGATTTCTGTTCTGCTTCCTTTGCCGTGCTCTAAATTTTTTTTTTTGCCTTGGTAACTTTGGTTGACCCGGTGGCGGGATGTTAGCTGCCTCGCCTGGTATACAGGAGGTCGTGGGTTTGATCCCGCCCCTGACGCCTGCTGTATATTTGGAGCTTGCGTGTCTCTCTCCCCGTGGTCGTGTGGATTTTTCTCAGAGTGCTCCGGTTATCCCCTCCACATTTAGAATCAACAACACGCGCTCAGAGTATTTGGCTGCTATACATTTCCACGTGATAAGCCAACTTCGTTGAGCTATCATTTGTGGCTAGGTCGCTTCTGAAAAAGGGCTACATAGCTCAGTGGGCATTCCCTGGTAAAATAAAAAAAATAGTTAAGTTTAGGTTGACCCAGGTCACTCTTGCAAATGATTCTATATCTTGGTCTCTTGTAGTTTTCAATTGGTTAAACAATATTTAATTTTAAATCACTCACTCATCATCTAACCCACTCATTCACACACTCACTCTTGTAAATGAACCTTACCTGGCCTTTTGATTTCGCTCCAGATTAAAACAAACTAAACCTGAAACTTAAAACATCACCTGTAAACGTCACCTATTATATACAGTGAGGGAAAAAAGTATTTGATCCCCTGCTGATTTTGTACGTTTGCCCACTGACAAAGAAATGATCAGTCTATAATTTTAATGGTAGGTTTATTTGAACAGTGAGAGACAGAATAACAACAACAAAATCCAGAAAACGCATGTCAAAAATGTTATAAATTGATTTGCATTTTAATGAGGGAAATAAGTATTTGACCCCTCTCCAAAACATGACTTAGTACTTGGTGGCAAAACCCTTGTTGGCAATCACAGAGGTCAGACGTTTCTTGTAGTTGGCCACCAGGTTTGCACACATCTCAGGAGGGATTTTGTCCCACTCCTCTTTGCAGATCTTCTCCAAGTCATTAAGGTTTCGAGGCTGACGTTTGGCAACTCGAACCTTCAGCTCCCTCCACAGATTTTCTATGGGATTAAGGTCTGGAGACTGGCTAGGCCACTCCAGGACCTTAATATGCTTCTTCTTGAGCCACTCCTTTGTTGCCTTGGCCGTGTGTTTTGGGTCATTGTCATGCTGGAATACCCATCCATGACTCATTTTCAATGTCCTGGCTGAGGAAGGAAGTTCTCACCCAAGATTTGACGGTACATGGCCCCGTCCATCGTCCCTTTGATGCGGTGAAGTTGTCCTGTCCCCTTAGCAGAAAAACACCCCCAAAGCATAATGTTTCCACCTCCATGTTTGACGGTGGGGATGGTGTTCTAGGGGTCAAAGGCAGCATTCCTCCTCCTCCAAACACGGCGAGTTGAGTTGATGCCAAAGAGCTCCATTTTAGTCTCATCTGACCACAACACTTTCACCCAGTTGTCCTCTGAATCATTCAGATGTTCATTGGCAAACTTCAGACGGGCATGTATATGTGCTTTCTTGAGCAGGGGGACCTTGCGGGCGCTGCAGGATTTTAGTCCTTCACGGCGTAGTGTGTTACCAATCGTTTTCTTGGTGACTATGGTCCCAGCTGCCTTGAGATCATTGACAAGATCCTCCCGTGTAGTTCTGGGCTGATTCCTCACCGTGCTCATGATCATTGCAACTCCACGAGGTGAGATCTTGCATGGAGCCCCAGGCCGAGGGAGATTGACAGTCCTTTTGTGTTTCTTCCATTTGCGAATAATCGCCCCAACTGTTGTCACCTTCTCACCAAGCTGCTTGGCAATGGTCTTGTAGCCCATTCCAGCCTTGTGTAGGTCTACAATGTTGTCCCTGACATCCTTGGAGAGCTCTTTGGTCTTGGCCACGGTGGAGAGTTTGGAATCTGATTGATTAATTGCTTCTGTGGACAGGTGTCTTTCATACAGGTAACAAGCTGAGATTAGGAGCACTCCCTTTAAGAGTGTGCTCCTAATCTCAGCTCGTTACCTGTATAAAAGACACCTGGGAGCCAGAAATCTTTCTGATTGAGAGGAGGTCAAATACGTATTTCCCTCATTAAAATGCAAATCAATTTATAACATTTTTGACATGCGTTTTTCTGGATTTTTTTGTTGTTATTCTGTCTCTCACTGTTCAAATAAACCTACCATTAAAATTATAGACTGATAATTTCTTCGTCAGTGGGCAAACGTACAAAATCAGCAGGGGATGAAATACTTTTTTCCCTCACTTACATATACATTTTGTATGTTGTATGCTGTGGAACTTCTTTCGCACACTACGTAGCCAACCCTGGTAAGCGGATGTGCTGGGGAAGGACAGCAAACTAAACACAAAACGCAGTTACAGGGCAACAATAGCATCATTGACGAAAGTATTGGGAGTTTGTGTGTTTGTTGCTGTTGTTGTTACGAGTGCTTTTCCACCGCTGCCAACGCAGCAGCATCAACACCAAAACAAATAATGATGACGATGACGTGTCCATCCTTCATTGTGGGGCAGCACTCGTTGTGAGTGATGGGCCATGGACGTAGCGCGCAAGCTCGGCTCGGCACGGCACGGGCACGCCTCCCTCACCGTGCAGCAGCTGTGACACGTGGCTCGCCTGCGGAATCGCGCTCGCGCTGTAGGCGGTGACCGTGAGCTCCTCCAGGGCCGCGCGGAACTCCGGCTCTGCCCCGGGGGCACCCCGCACGGCCGCCTCCAGGGCGCTCCGCCACGCGGCGCTCTCCCGTGCCGAGTACTGCAGCACGGGCGCCGGCTCGCGGCTGCAAGGGTAGGGGCGGAGGAGAACAAGGAGAGATGAAGAATCGACGCTGATTGAGTGGAGGAGTGGAATGGGTTGTGCGATATTGACCGGTTTGGTGCTAATTGTAGCAAGGCCGTAGCCATGGAGTCAACATTGGGGGGGGGGACCAAATCTTCTAGAGGATGTGGGGGTCCCCCCCCCCCATAAAAAAAAAATCTAAATTTGAAAACTCATTTCCTGCCTAAAATATTTTAAAATTCACTAACACATAGGATGGACTTTTTATTTAATTTTTTACAATAATGTCTAATAGTGCATTGTATTACACTGCTCTGTTTTTTTTTACCTTTTCTTGTTTCATTGTATGTAATGGCAGAGATTAGGGATTAATAAAGTACAACCATAACCACAATCATATGAACATAAATCTATTTTATAGCATTATATTGGGGGGGATATTTTGAGCATATTTGAATATTGGGGGGGATGTGTCCCCTCCAATATATATATTATAATTACGGCCTTGAATAGTAGCCACTTTCACCAGGTAAGGCCCAGAAGCGACCTGGCTTGTCACAAAGGAGAGCCCAACATAGTGGCGTATCGTGGGGAAATTCACACCAGACAAATACTTTAAACACATGTTTTTAAATGTGGAGGGAAAAACCGAAAAATTCCACGGGGAGTTAACATGCAAACCCCAAATATCCATAATACAGTTATTTTGGGGTTAGATCGCATAAATATAAATGAGTCGTTAAACTCCGCCACCACCCGACACAGCCAATTAGTAAGGTTTGTCACATAAACAAAACATGCCAATTCGTTACTCGTACAGCACACTGGTGTGTTGGAGAGCAAATATTTACAATCTGTGTACGATGTTTCGCCAGTAATTACGACTAGCATCATACAGGCGTTAGGGTCAGGATCGAACCTATTCGTGTAGTCGCAATATTCGCGCAGTAACCATACAAAGTAGTCATAAGCAAACTAAGGAAAAAGCTTAGGGCCCCAAATATCTCAGGGAGTGGGAGAGGGGGGGGCAGACAACTGAATTAATAAATACACCGAATATCAGCTCGAACTCATTAAAAATATATTTAATTAACTTATAAAATATGTTTAATGATTAACATTTTTTAAATAACTGAAATATAATTAATTCCCCTATTACCTTAATAAATTCAAACACATATTCTTAGTTCTTTCGGTAAAGTCACGTTGAAGGGAAACAATAAAATAATGAAATATATATTTATTGTTATATATTTCATTATTTTATTGTTTCCCTTCAACGTGACTTTACCGAAAGAACTAAGAATATGAATTACTGCAGTCACGAAAGCTTTAAATCAAAATTCAAACACCTGTGATATTGTTGAATTGTGTAGCTTTTTGAGAATATGTAGTCACGTGATGCAAGCAAACCATAACTTATGGTTAAGGCCCCCAGTGGGCTTCATCACCACTCACCATATATTGTATTTCAAGGAGTTCATAACATAAGCAGTACTTAAGTTCCCAGGTGAAGGGGTCGGAGGTATTTTCCGGAGCTCAACCCTGGACAGCTCCGGCATAAATTAAGCTCTGAACAGAATGAAAGTTTATTGTTCGGAATGTGACACCTTAGGGCAGTGTTCTTCACTAATATTCAGAGGGGGGGCCACTTTCGCCGACAAGACATCATCAGTGTGAGGAGGGCCGCCGCACATTTTGAAACCATTGGGATTTGCCAGCAGCGCGATGGGGAGTGTTGTCACGTGTTGTGAATTATCGGGGGCCGCACTAAAGGCCACCAGGGGTCCCCAGTGGCCCGCGGGTCCCTTGCAAATAAGTACTCCGCTTTGGGGTGGAGTCCTCATCATTAGCCATACGTATTACTAGCTTAAGGAAATTGCGTAATTCTACTCAGTTCTTTATCCAATATTCACTGTTTCTGGAAGAATCGGCATTGGGATGATTGACCAATTAACGCGAAACGAGTGTTCTGTTTGTGGTCGGTGAAAACAAAAATAATCACTCGCACAGATGGCCCACAAACCCTAATTGCTTTAGAGCCCCCGTGGGTCAACCCAAAGTGCATGATGGAATCGGTGGCATTCAATCTCGCAGGACGTCCACACTTAGCGAGTGAATCTACTCCATGAAGGTTATTTACAGCATTACCGGTGTTGTGTGGTCTTTTTTTGTACTGCGGTACCTGCATACGCGGTGACTTACAATTTGTATTGAAGAGCGAGCTCAGAGAAGTACGCCCTCCTGCTTTCATCAAGTTCGGAGCAAAAATCCTGGGGGGAAAACAAGGAATATCGAGATCATACTTTTTGTTTGCGGTGCAGGGAGGCACGTGTTTGTGTTGTGTGTTTATGCGGAGTGTAGCGCTACGAACGGCCAACACCAGTGACGATTATCTACACTGGTCCTGGGCATCCCCTAGATCGACTGAGCCTCAAATGAGTACTTGGTGCGATGTGTAAACATCGTCACCGGGGAGACAAAGGCGGTCGGGCGTGGTGCTGGCCACCCACCCCCTCGCGTGCCATGCCCCGGGCCTTCGTAGGTGCTCGCCAACAGCACTTGCCCCCAGCTATATGGGTGATCGTCGTCTTTGTGGAGATATGTGAAGCGATGGTGGAGTCGTAGTTAACGCACCGCACAACGAATCCAGCAACCCCAGTTCGACTCCCGGCCGTGGCCAATAAGAGCAGCGGACATCTAAAATAAGTCATTGGACTGGGGTCGGCTTTTAATGAGTACCTGGTGCTGTGTGACAACATGATCACTGGGTAGACAAAGGCGGATGGGCGTGATGTTGGCCTCTCGTGTGCCGTGCAGACCTTCATCGGTGCTTGCTAAACGACACTTGCCCCAACAGTCTGTGTTGGCTATAAGCGGGAACTTTCTAATTGCTTTGTGTTAGGGAAAGCGGAGATGGAGGTGGGCTCGTGCGTGCGGGGTGCGATGTAGGGTTTATCGTCAGTGTGTGTGTGTGTGTGAAATAATCCACTTGACACCTGCTTTCCACCAGGCATGCTCAGAAGCTTGAATAACCCCCACTGCGGATTGAAGCAAATGGAATCCTATACAAGCACAATATTTCCTTTTATTCCGCCAGAGCAGGGAATTTCAACAGGATGTAATACTCTGCTTAATTGACCCAGGCAGGTCATTTTATACCATCGCTGGACAGGCGTTTAGGGGCTGTCGATGGTTGTATAAATAGTTTTTTTGAATCTCTAGTGGAGATCCGGTGTGGTGGAACGGAGGCGCAGTGATTAGCGCGCTGCGCTATAAGCACTGCCACCAAAGACAACTTCCCGGCCATGGCCGACATCAGTGAGTCGTGATATCTGAAACGGTGTTATGGCCGTGTAATTTTTTTGTAAAATCAATGATTGAATCATTCACTAAATGACGCGGTGAAATGCTTTTAAATTGTTATTTGTATCCACGGGGACATATATTATATACAAAATATAAAGTGCACGCGTGATCTTGGCTCCTGCTCATGAATTCTCACGCGAATTCGCTTATGTCAGATAATTGCACTTACAGACTAATTTATAATTTGCCTCTCTGCAAAAATGTTTGAGAATGAATGTTTTAATCTCACCACCGACGAAATGTCAATCGTGTTACTCGAGCCTCGGCTGGAACTTAGCATCTGCCACTGCCTCACTCTGTCACGCAGGAAACGCGGCGTGGTGTTACACCCAGTCGTGAAAAATCTTAAAAGCCTGCAGCGGTGGCGAAGAGATGTGTTGGTAAGAATTTGATCAATGCATTTCCACGTATGAATAATAATACAAATTCAACGTGGCAATCGTAATGGGTGTTGGAGGGATAATTACAAGAATATTGCCATTAAACTACTCTGTGGCCGAGCCCATAAATAAATACTGTATGCATCGTAATGCGTCACTGCCCGCTGAGATCATTCGCTGGCTGCACTTCAGAGATGTACTCCTGGAGCTGTCAAATGGTTCACTCACCAACCTCGACATTAGCACAGAAACGTTACCGAGAAACTCCCCCCCCCAACCGTACGAAATAAAGATACTGGTCACAGCAGGATAAAGGAACTGCAAAGCTTTTTCAAAACCATGCATCTTTAGTAGCTTTATGAAAAGGCCTCTGGCCATAGATCACGAAGAGCGGCGTCAATGTGTTCATTACTCGGAGCATTTAGGGCTGAGATGAGTCAAATGATGCGACGAGAGACCACGTGTGTCACGTGACGGATTGTTTAAGCAGTCGCACGTGAGGACCCTGGTGAACTCTTGGTTATTGCTCGGATTCTAACCCGGTGGTGGTACATTGATTTGATACGGGCATTTAACGCTCGTTAATAGACGCCAATCCATCTCAATCGTATAGTTATATTGTTTATTTTGTTATTTGTTTATTTCCCAACAAAACCTAGGTGTTGTTTTTCTTTTTTACGCGTGAGAATTATATGCTAAATCGTAAAACCTGAGAGAAAGACCGATCACTTAATTTGTATACGGGATGCATTTTCTCACCGATGATTTTCTGAGTTGCGGCGAAACTGAGCTAGGCATCGTGACTAGAAATCACAGTCACGGCGATAACGATGACAGTGGATGTGGTGTGCCGGGACACACAAAAAAAACCCGGCTCAGACGCGGACAACATTGAGCCGCGATGAAACCCACTTCCGAAGATGAGACGTCGTCCCACCGCACCGCAGCGAACACCTCCTCCAGGTGGAAAATGTGCGTCGGGAATGGCACGACCGGATTGAGGGCTCCACACGACTCTTCCGCTCCCTCGATCGCCCGGGCCTCCTGGCCGCCGCCGGGGGCTCCCTCGACTCCTGCAGGCACCGCCGCAGCCTCGGAGTCCTCCCCTTGAAAATCCAGGCAGAACTCGATGAGCGGCTCCGAACCTCGCCAGCGCAGGCGAACTCCCTTCACTTCATTGGCCTGCAGAGCGGGGGGGAGCACGCCACGACACACCACACCATAAGCCAAGCCACACCACACACCACGCCAGATGCCACACCACACGCCAGCCACACCACATGACACGCAATGCAACATGCCACACCACGCCACACGCCACGCAACACCACACGCCGCATCACATGCCACATGAGCCACTGCACTAGCGGGCACACAAACACCACCGACACGTGTGGGTAGGTGGTGTGTGCACGCGTGAGACTGACCAAAGCCTGATTGGTCGGCTCAGGCCACTGGTGCGTATCGTGCCTCGATGGCATTGACACCGCGTGCCGGATTTCGCTCGTCACGACCCTCTCTGGTCTATGGTTGCTGAGCAAAATTCCGAACGGGTTGGTGCGCTCCGCGTATGTGCATCGTCAGATCGGGACTTGTGCTCGAAGTGCATCCACGATTAGAGAGAGCGAGAGAGATGGAAACATTAATAATTATCACGGTCGATTATTTAGCGGCTATGGCACGTATCTGCCGCCAGAATATCGGCCGCGTTCGTGACTTGTGTCAAGTTTCCCGCGCGCATTGCAACCTTTGCCGGTGAGTGGGTATGAGTGGTTACAACACAATATATATATGTTTTTTTGCCTTGAACAGAGGCTCAGACGCAGTATCCTTACCAATGACCTCTCGTGACCCAGCATCAGGACAAATTTTCAGCAAGTCTGGCTTTTGCTGATGAGACCCAAGTGGTGGGAAACCTAATCAGAGTTTTTCTTCTTTAAACACGCTTGCGGGGTGTTGGCTTGAAACCCCTCTAGGACCGATTGGCTCAAACATTATTAATTATTTGATGCGGAGAGACCAACGAATATCCGTTGAATGTATTCCGCGAAAACTCAAATCGGCTCGGACTGGCGCTGAACCGGCCAGGCAAGACAGCTCGACTCTCCCCGTCATCGCCTCGCCGCCACGTTTACCTCAATCATAGCCAAGGTCCTGGCGAGGGCTCCCGTTGTATCCGCGTCACTCTGGGGCGCCGAGGAGTAGTGGGATCCACTGCTCACGGGGCCAGAGCTGCAGACACCGTTCGGCTGCCGCTGCTGCTGCTGCTGCTGACACCTCCATGGTGACCCGCGGAGGGTCTCGCCTCCGCACCAACGTTGACTAGACCCGCCGGTGCCGAGCTCCTTGCGAGAAGAGGCGTCACAGGGCGGCAGGAGGGAGAAAAGGCGGCCCAGCGTGTTGCAGCAGAGGACTCGGTCCAGGAACATTTTTTGGAGCGAAGGCGAAATCGCCCAGAAGGATTTTGAGAGATCGAGCGAATTGATCGGTGGATTATAAATTTGAAGCGTGGTGCACTCACTCCCGTTGGTGCGATTGCCAGCGGGCTGACTGCGCGCGCGTGTGGACGTGTTAATTGAAATATACGTCGGAAGTAAACGAATTGACGGAACTCATCGGTGGGCTCATAACGATCAATTAAAAACGCACGCAAATCGATCGATGCATGCAAAATGGTTTGGCACTTTAGAGACGGGCAAAACTTCGCGTCAACGAACCAAATTGTGGAGCTGCGTTGTGTTCTCCGGTTGTAGAAAGCTGGACAGATTGATCGTATAATTGATGCAAATATCGAAGCTAATTGTAAACGACCTAATTAGCTGATCACTCCCTCCAGGAGTAAGTTACAATTCGTGAGAGAGAATGAATGTTCTTAATGCGAAACCTGAAAAGATGAGCGTTAAACCCAATCCTCCGTGTTCACAGGTGTTATGAATGAATGAAGGACTGATTGAGCGAGTGCGGAAATTTGCGTTCTTCGGTGTGCCCTATAACCTAACGGAAACACGGCTCTTGCCAAGCTGGAGAGGCTGTTTGAGCTAGTATACGGTACGGGGCAAATCAAGCAGAGAACGACTGAGTGAATCGGTGAACGTTCTTAGCTGCACGAATGAATCACAGAATGGATCAGCGCAGGAGCAAGCAGCTGAATGAATGAGCGTCCAGCCGTCAGCCTATCTGGATTCTCTCTCTCTTCCCTCCCCTCTCCGCGCCGCTTATATAGAGAGCAGGCGCCCGTGATATCGCCACGAGATAGGCGCGCAACAGGACACCGTATCGGTGTGCCAGGAGTAAAAATAATATTCTAATCGCGTGAGATGAAAAGCGAGCTAAAGTGAAGGGCGGAGAGTGGCGATTGCTGGAGGAGATGACGCATGCAGCGGTGGAGTTGCAGGGAGCGGTGCTGCAAGTAGCCGTGCGGTTGTTGGGCTCATTGTGGGGGAGTGGTTGCGAGTGGTTGGGTTGGGTTGGGTTTTTTTTCAAATGTGATCATTTGTGGGTGGTTGTGGAGTTGGGTTTGATGGGGGGGGGGGGGGGGGGTATTGGATGGCCGAGGTACGTAAGTGCTTAATTGGTGGTTGTGGATGGTGGTGGGTGGATTAGTGTAGTTACAGATGATTTAGTGCGGTTGTATAGGAGTGAGGTGGCTTATGGTGGTGGATTTATCTATTTATTATGGTGGTAATGGTGGTTGCTAGATGGTTGGGAGTGGCTGCAGGAATGCATTGGTGGTTGTAGTTTGGTTGTAGTAGTTGAGGTTGATTTGTCTGGATGGTGAATACACTTCACTACTAAACCTTAAAATCCGGGTTCCATAGCAGGTCATTGTCAGGACCAGTGGCGAGTTTTACTACGCATATCACAGCTGTAGCAGGGATCGAATACTCATCCAATATTTGTCTGTGCCTCCCAACCTCCAATCCCCAGGACCCCCAGGGGAAGGGAGGGATATGTTTCCGGAGCTTAGCCCCCGACAGCTCCTTTGTAAAATTAATCCCTGAACTGTCGCAACTTATGTCTGCAATAAATAGCAGTTGGTGTACGCTGCCTGAGAGGCAAAGCCAGCAAATTACTGCCTACTTCATTTCAGTCTGAATATACTCAAGTTGGAGTGGTCTCCCCGTGGATACGTGGGTATTTCTCCAGGTTACTCCGGTCTTCTCCCCCACATCAAACACGGACGAATCAAACCAAACCAATTGTCCATAACATCGCCCTCTTGACAAAGGCCGTGCACTCCTTGAGTAAGGATAACGTTTGTAAGATGTAGCTTGGGATGGAGGCACGGTTTCTGAAGTGCACGCAGTCCGTTGCCTTACGATGTGGATTCATACAGAAACTCAATGCCGCGGTGGTAGACGTTGTCAAGACAACAGTTGGACGTACGTGTCCACCTCCGACTCGAACTTCAACGAGATCGGGGAGTCGATCGCAGGAACGACCGAGCAAGGTTACCAGGCAACAGGAGCAGCAGAGGAGGAAGAGCAACCGCGCCTTAAGGATGCTACGATAAATAACAACAACAGCTGTGGAACATGGACACCATGGGTTAAGGACGCATAGTCATTCATTCTGTGCATATAAACGGACAGCCGTAGGCAGACGAGAAAGTTGAAGATCTTGAGCCTGGGCTTGAAGGGAGGCAAGGAGATCGACAGCGCGGATGACTCGGGCAAGGCAGGTTCCGGAACATGGCACCAGTAGAGCAGAATGAGCCATCGACGGTTCAGTGGGCTGTGTGGTGGGTGCCGCACAAGTACGACGGATTACATTTGATGGTCCGTGGTCGAGACTAAGAGTGAAGTGCATTCAACGGAGGGAACGCGCACGGGATCACCGCCCACTACAGAGACGGAGCAATGGAATGAGCTTGCGCGCAGGTGCCAGCCGGATTCGTTGCATCTTTGGACCGCGTGAGATGCTGACGACTCGGTGAGGAGGTGAGAGGGTCCTTATCCAGCAGCGGAGTGATCGTGGCTGAGGACACTGTGCGTGAGTGAAGCCACTGGATCTGAGTGGGCGGGATGCGGGGGTTAGCCCAGTGTTCGCGCTTGTTGACTCGGCGTCGGCGATGCGCGTTGCCGTGCTCGCTGACGTCAAGGGGTATCTCATTGCTTCCTGTGACCTAGCCCGCTTTGCCATTTCCCACCCCGCATTTATTGCGAGACACAAAGGCGTAAAGCAATTTTTTTTTATCGCCAGCGTCGAACCAACTTTTAACCCTGCAAGTGAGCAATGCTGGACTGCTGTATTACATTTCTTTAAAAAAAAAAATCAAGCTATGGTGTTAGATGAATATTTTTTTTTTATCTGTTAAATATTTATATTGTGAAATATATTATTTGTTAAATATATGTATTGTTAAATATATTGAATTAATATTTTTCGTTTTTAACAGTAATTCAGCAGAAGTCGCTTACTGGTGATGGGTTGACACCATCAATTACATCAAATGGTCTTGGTTTAATCGAGGGGTGGAACGTAATCTGGATTTGAACCCAGGGTCTCGGCCTGTGCTGATTTAGTGTTCGGAAAGGGGCGAATTTAACACCAAAACTTTCCCTTCGGGTGAACCGCTTAAAACGTCCATTGAACCCCCGCAATGGTTTAGGCTGTGTGACAGAGATTCGTCACTCAGTAAGGCAACATTTTCTCCATGAAGCCTCCAGGCAACCTTCGACCAATGGGAGGTCACTCATCCTCCTGTGCTGCCCCCACAATGTGGAGCTTCTCCCAGACGTCCGTGTTGACTCTCCCGGGCCCCGTGCAAGTGCAGGCTCAATGGCTTCCTCGCTTGTTTCCTCTGCCCTATGAACGACTGCGTCACTAAATAAAGATTATTTTGCTGCGCGTGGCGCTGACGTTTTATAATAAATAAATAAATACACCGTTTTGAAATAAATAAATTTATGCGGACCAACCCGCCTGATGACGACCGTTTGTGTTATGGTCGAAACGTCGTGAGAATTTTTATTGTTTTATATATATTTTATTATTTTATTGTTTCCCTTCAACGTGACTTTACCGAAAGAGTTAAGAATATAAATATGCTCACTGTTTCCGTTAAGCGTCTTGACACGTGGACACATTTAGACGCTTTATAAATCCAAATTGTGTTGTATAATTGCATTGTATGTCTGAGATTACATACATTTTCAGGATGCGATGCATGCCATGATTGTTCACATTGCTTGAAGTGTAAGGCAATGCAAATTCATTTAGAAGTTTGAATGCACTAAAACCTTTTACAGGAATGCTCTTCCAGGAACGTTTGTTCAATGCACACAAACACACACACACCTTTCCATGGACCCTTGCCACCTGTCGTGAATGTAGTAATTCAAGTACGGATGAGAAGAGATTGTGATATCATGCTGCTAACACAAATCACTGAATGGTTTAGTGCCTCCATATATACAGTATGGCCCTCAAGAATTAATAAGCAGAGGTATATCTCACAATGCCAGCAGAGGGTAGAATTGCACATAGCTGGCAAAAAGCCGGGACTTTTAATGTTTAATGTTCCGGGAAGGCTTACAGATTTCCCCAGGACAGCTACCCTCAACAAATAGAGGACGATCCTGTAAAAACCAAAACAGGTGGCAACCTATCCCCCATATATATGTAAAGACAGTACAGGGGACTAGCGGTCACAGGGGGTAATGACAGGTTAAGGGGACAGACAGGGGAACGATCTGAGGTCTACGAGAAGGATCGAGCATAGGGGGGCTGCGGCCAAGTGACAGAAGGGAACAGGTGCGGATTAAGGATCGAGAGGCAGCGAGAGGGTTCGAGAGCAGGGGACAAGGGTCAAGGGGAGATGGCCACGCTTGGGATAGAAGGGGTTCAGAGGAGATGCTCGGTGTCTGCTGCTGGAATCGGGGTCTTCGCTGTCAAGTGAACGCGTCGTCGATAAAGAACCATCAAAAGAGCAGTATCTCCTGGAGTCGTTACACATATATATACACCACGATGCCAGATGTTAAGTGTTTAAGGGGTTACAGTAAATGGCACATGCCTTCGAGCCGACAGTGATGAACACGCTTGTAAATTGAGTTATACGTCACACCGTGGGTGTGTTTCCATTCCCACCAGCAGCCCGTTAATATCGTGATACAATAGACGTGATGATCTGATGGGGATGGAGCGGTGGTGGGGGGGGGGGGCGGTGACGCAGTGGAGCAGTAAAGTAGTGTCGCAAGTGTTTAGGGCTCTGCGCTGTGAACACGGTTGTCCAGAGTTCAGTTTCCAGTTTCAGTTTCATTTATAAGGTATAACCCTGTGAGCCATGCGGCTCTTGACTCGGGTGCAACCGCAGCAAACAAAAACATGAACAAGAAACATCTTAAAGTGACTACACGCAACAGAAAAATCCAGGAAAAAACAGCGAAGTCTTCCAGAAAAACACTGTATTTCAACGCTGTGTGTGGTTCGACTCCTGGCCGAGGCTAACGTCGTGAGGGACTGATATCTGAACCCGCCCGGGCGTCCCCCTTTCACCAGTGACACGGTATAGGGTAGGGCCTTTATCCAACATCGACAAAGGTCCGCACATTGTCAAGTGAATGGGAGGGCAGGTGTGGCTCTAAATAGCCCATTATGTAACTGTATAAAAAATCTATTGTGTCTCAGAATCGAGTAATAATGAATATCTCTTTAGCTTGAGCCACTTATTAGAGAATAAATAATTACGTGAGTCGCATTAAGGGCATTAGTATGAATAAGTGGACATGACACACCCTGTTACCCTATCGTTCAGGATCAGAATGTGTATTTATACCGGAGGAATCCGATGAGCTATAAAGCTCTTTTTCACAGATGTCCAGTAGAGGCAGGTCAGAACGTTACAACGAATTAAAAAAAAACACGATAGGAGTACAAAGTATAGGGAAATAAATAAAAATGTACTTTCAAATATACAAATAAAGGCGAATGACCTAATTCGCTTCTTTTTCAGAAGTGACCTGGCCAATCACAAATGATAGCTCGACAAAGTGGCTCATCACGTGGCAATCTCCACCGCGGTTTGGCAGCCACTTCGTAGTGCGGCAGTCCATTTCGTCTGCTTCTCGTGGTTTGCGTGACGAACTCGTGGCCCCCAAGTGCCAGACGACTGAGGAGGCACGCCTCCATCACCAACCCTATAGATAAACGTCTACAGTACTCACAACAATAACGTATTAAAGCTTTCGTGACTGCATAAAATCACTCATTAGTTTTTTCGGTAAAGTCACGTATGTAGAAATACAATAAAATTATATTAAAACGAAAAACAATCACGACGTTTCGATCACAACGCAAGCGATCTTCATCAGGTGTCAAGAACAAATCACGGAGGTAAATACAACAAAAAGATGAGAGACGAGAATTCAACAAACCTGA